CGTGAGTTCTAAGCCACCGGGTCCGGGACGCGAACCGTGGTCGACTACATGGGAGTCCAGCGACATAGCCATTACGCTAACTGCTGGTTCCTGCTTTGGGGAGATTTTGAAGTGAGTACATTTGAGTACTAAAACCTATCTAATAGAAAAATGTGTTGAACTGGAAGGTGTTCTGTTTTTGTTTATTTTTAAGCCAAATATGAGGGTGTGGGTTCACCTTAAGATTTTAGACATCCTAGCACCATCAACAGATTTTAATGGGTGTGCCTGGAGACAAGACCAAAGCATACTGCTAAGACCCAGCCAGAATCCAAGAGAGAACTAAATGATTCTTTTTTTTTTTTTTTTTTTTTACATCCTACCACCATCAACAGATTTTAATGGGTGTGCCTGGAGACAAGACCAAAGCATACTGCTAAGACCCAGCCAGAATCCAAGAGAGAACTAAATGATTCTTTTTTTTTTTTTTTTTTTTTTTTAAGGGTAGGGGGTGAGGACCTTGCTGTTTATTGCCATTTTTTTTTCTTGATGCCATTATAAGAGCAAATATTACAACTTGGACCTCTGTAGGGCTACTTATGACATTTTTGTGTCGAAATAGATGAGTGTCTATGCCAACCAATTTGGTATATTTCATCAATTTGGTATATTTCATTTATTTCCTAGAAGGTAGGTATAATATAGGCTTTGAGATTTACTTTACTTGCAGAATCATTTCTTGAGTACATTGTTTGGAATGTTTTCCAACCATATTTTTAGCTCCTATGTTTGGTAGACATATTAACTGCATGCCTTTCATTAAAATTATTTAATATTGGGGTCAGCAGGTGTTGTTCGTGGTGGTTAAAGGCACTGGACTCTCACATGGCCCTCTATGGTTTGAGTTCCAGACTTACTTTCTCTCTCTCTCTCTCTCTCTCTCTCTGTCCCTCTCTGATAAAATTAAAATAAATAAATAAATAAATGTTAAATAAAAATAGTTCTTTTTTAAAAAGTTATTTAATATCGAGAAACTATATTATGACAAAAGAGATATCTAACCAAGCAATACTGCTCTTAAGTAGAGAGCCTTTCAGTAAGTATTAAATGGAAGAGTGTGGAAGAGGGTGCCATTAGATCTGGGAAACATGGTCCAAGAAATTGTAAACTTTTTTTAAAATTTTTTTTATACATTCAGTCACATTATTTAGCTTACAAAGTGAACATTTCAATATGTGAACATTTCTCCCTAGTCCAGTTGGTGAATGCCAGATGTGGTGTATGTGGAGAAATTGTAAACTTTTTCATCTTAATGGGCAGACTTTACACCTCTGATGGCATACACATGTTTTCTTAAAGAAGAATTAAGAACCCTTGGATTTTGGCTGTATGTTCTTGAGGCTGGCCCACAGGATTTCTTCTGGGTGCCTTAGGGGGATAGTAATAACCTGTATAATCATTTTAATTCATGATAAACTTATGGCCATGTTCCCATTCAGCAAACAAAAAATTACTACTGCTTCCTTGGATCAGTGCTCCTTCAACTTGAATATACATATGAATCACCTTAATATATATCATCTTGTTTGAAAATTATCTTTTTTTTTTTTTTACCATGAAATCAAATTTCCCCGAAAGGGGAATTTTATTGATTACTTTATTCCCTTACAAACAGACCAACTGTAATCAAATGAGGTGAACATTCACCTCAGTATTTTGCCATCTTCATAATGGAAAAAGATGAGGCTTAGAACTGGATCACTTGACCCTTTCTCTTTTTATCCCCTCCCAGTTCAAAATGCTTACATCTCTCTTTTTTTTTTTTTTTTTTGGTGGGTTTTTTCTTTTACG